TATATATATATTTTTTAAACAAGTCATCAGCTTAGAGTTAGCAAATAATATGGGCCCGCAAATTATTGCCATCACTCTGGCGCACGTGGTGACATGTGTAGCACAATCGTCATTTTCGTATGTAGGTGCACCTGACTTGCGTTTTCGGTAGTATGCATGTGTTCGCGGGGGCAGGGGACTTTTTACTTTTATTGCTATCACATGGGGGGCACACAAGCCCCCTATGTGATAGCACATTGCAGATAACAGGTGCTCTTTAAAGTGACATTAGGGGTCTATTAGACCCCTAGTGTCACCTTTCCACTTCAGTAGCTTTAGCTAAGGAATGACAGATGCCTGCTAAGGCAGCTGAATATAAACATAGTAGCCAGTGGGTGGGTGCAATAGCCAGTCTGCTATTTGCCATTTCAAATTGCCGGTGGCTGCAGTGGAGGGGGTTAAAAGAGGTTTGGAGCTCACCTCACTGCTGGACACTGGCTGCAGGGATCTGCATCTCCTTAGAGGGGGAGCACACAGAGCCCATGAAACACTGTCTCCCAGCGGGGAGAAAAGAAGCAGAACCAACTAAATCGATAATGAGAATCGTTAAGAATGATTCTCATTATCAATTAACATTGATTAGTTGTTGCAGCCCTAGTGCCTGCTAAGTTCTCACTGTTAGTTCTGCAATTTTGTCCACCTCAGACCTGCTGTAAAATGATAGAAAATACCACACTGTTGTTTAGTTAGCTGGACTAGTACCGTTACTCAGGTGGAAGAATTAAACAGGTTAAGTATATTGTAAACAAAAATATACCGATAACCAAGTTGTTGTTTTTTTCCCGCAAAACCATATTTATCACCAATACCTATAAACAAGACCTGGTTGCCTCCATAAATATAGTGCATATCATTTCACGCTGTGTACTTTTAATATTATTTATGAATTAATTAATAATATTATTTATGAATTCATTAATAATAATGAAGACCTAAACAAAAAGTGAAGGTGTCCTTTTAAACCCGAAATCTCACTTCCACAAAACGGAAAAAAGGTTTCCTTAGGACAACAGAACTAAAAGCGGAGATTTAAAAAAATGTGTAAGTTAATGTAGGATACGTACAACGAAAACAACCACAATCATACTGCATATGTTCTAGTAGACTTTGCCCTCATTCACACGGGTAACGGCCAGCCCGTATAGATCCGTGCTGCGTGCACAGCCGTATCAAGCCGCTCCCGGGAAGGACAGGTGCTGCGTGTGATTTGTACGCAGCAGCCTGTCCTTCTCTATGGGAGTATGCAGCCGTACGCCGCCCTACACTCAAGCAACCTGCATGTCCGTGCGGCTGCGTGTGTCCCTGCTCTGACGCAGACAGTATCCATCCTGTCAGCGCATGAGTACGAACACCCGCAGCCGCACGGACGTGCAGGTCGGGTGAGCATAGGGCCGCGTACTACCATAGAAAAGGAAAGGCTGCTGCGTGCAAATCAGACGCAGCACCTGTTCTTCCCGGGAGTGGCCTGAAAGGGTCGTGCACGCAGCACGGACCTGTACAGGCCAGACGCTTCTCGTGTGAATGAGGGCTAAAGGTAATATAAGTCAGCAATAAAATAGAGATACGTTACCCCCAAAGCAGAAATATTTAAAACGGTGAACTATAGAACAACAGAGCACAAAATATATATTCAAGATAAATGATAAGCAAGTAGAAACACATGGCACAGAAGATGTCAAAAGCCACCATATGTACCAACTGTTTGTAGAACAGCAGCAAGGGGGAAACTGGCAAGTAGGTTCTAAACTTTGACAAAATAGGCATGTGAATGTGTGCTCTGAGCTAAATGTGTACTACCTGTAGAAGAAAAAAACACTTTACTGCAGGGCAGGACAAATCCCAAGAGCCAGGCAGCCTCTGCACATTAAAAGTTACAACTGATGTCCAACTTTTGAGGTTTTCTCTAGTTGCTGTCAGTGGAGCTGGCTCCTAAAAAAATCCTGCTGGTTCCTGGATTGGACAGACTGGCTCCTGAAATACATATTAATTAATAGTGAACCAGTGTGCTGCGCTTGGTATTGGATTATAATCTTTTGGATCACATTTTTTGATATTATTATATTTTTTGATATTATTATATTTTTTCTTATTTTTTCTGTATTTTGGTTCCTGATTTTTTCATATATCCTAGCGCAACTACCTTGGTCACCATATTAATTAATACACCCCTGTGGATCTAATTCATTGTCTGGAGATGGCAAAATATACTCACTCACTCATTCACATGAAATCCAGCTCAATCTGTCCAGTCCATGAGCAGGCAGGATTGTTTTGTTTTTTTTTAGGAGCCAGCTCAATTGATAATGTAAAAAACTGGAACGTTAGGCGCCCAACTGCAATTATTAAGAAACATTGGCTACCTGGCTCTTGGAATTGTCCCAGCCCTGGCACAAATGGTCAAAACGTAATGAGAATAACACGCAGTTTGAGGATATGAAAAAATGTCCCATACAATAGAGAGTTTGCTCACAAAGTTATGATTTAGTCATTCACAAGAAGTCTAATGTAAATACCACTAAGGGTGCACATGGCGGTGGGAAACCATGTGATGGGTTAAAGATAGAGATTAGGCAGGGCTTGGAGATAACTCAGTTCCTCTGAGTTCACCTAGGCCCACTCAAAACTCTGACCGTCACCTCCTGATTGGGGAGGTGGTGCCAGTTAGTTTTAACCATGCTTGGTTGAACTCAGGCAAATTAAGTTTGCACCAAGCCCAGCCTCATCACTAGTCACAGGTTGGTTTAGGAGATGAAGATCACACACCCAATGGGGACAATTTCACACAGGCAATATCAAAACAAAAATTCCCCAGATTTTTGAACACAAACAGTACACCAGGGAGAGTCAGCAAGGAAGGAGGCTTTGAACCATTCATGGTCAGGATAACACATGTGTTATCCTACATGAATGTAGTTACCAAGCATAAATATCTACAATGGCCTGTCCCACGGACTCCCGACCATAAAGGGCGAGCAGGAGCTGGTGGATGTGCTCTCAGCACAGATCAGTGCAGCAGGCTGATGCATATATGCGGCAGCTTGGCATTAAGGCCCATTATCCATGCTGCCGCTTTAATGTGTTACAGTGGATTTGTGGTCTGTGCCCCCTTTGATGAGATTTCTCCTCCTTTCCTGTTGAGACAGGAAGTAATGGGAAACCTATTCATTGGAGACACAGACTGTGACAAAATACTTATTTTCATTAAAATGAGGATGGGTTATCTATGACAGGTTATTATAATTGTCTTCCTTTCCCAGTGATAAGTCCTCCCCTAATTTGCCGACAACTCCCAGTCACCGTTCACCAGTCAAAGAAACAGGCTACCGATCATGTGACCACAGTGACAGCCAATCACATGGTCGGGAAGCCCGCTTCAGACTCCTTGCCTAAAGAGCACCTTAAAGGACTGCCAGGAGTCAGCAGCACGGTGTTAATCTAAAATATCAATAAATCAAATAGGTGCACAGTAAAAGTACAAGAAGCGCAGGACAAAATGATTACACAGGGCCAAGCGTTTGCCTAAGTGACACTATGCTCTTTACTTACGTAATGTAATCCAAGAAGCTGGCGAGCGGCTCATACGATTGGTTCCTCATGTGTCTAAACTCCACAACCATCTTCTCCTTCAGCTTGTCATCAATGACAGAGACAGCAAGCGGCGAGGCTTCATTGGCCAGAAATGTGCCATAGTCTGTGCTCTGAAGATGCAACTTGAGATCTGTGTGAAAGAATATAAACGAAATCAGAAATTGAAATTATTTTCTGCATTCTTTGCTCTAAAAATGGTAGTAATAAACTTATTACATTCAGAGCAGCCACATTTATTATTCATCAGCAAACTAGACATCATACAACCCGTAATGTATACCTTCAACCTACATTTCTGCGAGTTTCCGCCCAACAAGCCAAATGTATACAGGTAGTTTAAATGGTCTTACAATGGGGGGTATCTGTGCTGTGATGTGTAAAAGGGATGTTAAAAAGTAACTCTTTTGTCACCCCATTGAAATCAACGATCAATGGGGCCGCACAGAAAGCACTGCCTGCATTGTGCTGGACCGCACGATCCCGGATAGCAGAGGTCTGCACCGCGCCTCATACTTATGGCCCCTGTTCACACCTGAACGTTTTGTAGCAATAAGCAAAACCCCTGTGGCTGGAAAAAGTACATGAGCTTCTTCCTGGCAGATTACAGCTCGTTTTGTCCCCATAGCGTCAATAGGAGACGGTTGGAAATATGCATCACAACTGGTTTTGCGCATTTTTGCCATTTACATCAATGTGTAACAATCTGCTCATAAAAACACACGACTTAATGTATGCGCCAAAACCGTGCAGCAAAAACGCTGTCGCCTAGGTGTGAATCAGGCCTTAAGGTAGAGAATGTCTGTACTTAAAAGGAGAACTATGGGGTTAAGGCTTTTCCCCATAGTTCTCCTTAGGGTAACGGGAGGACACAAACTAGCATCCTACCGTCACCCTAGGCTCAGTATACCGCGAGCTGTAGCTCACGGTATACTGAGACGCCGCAGTATAGACGCCGCAGCTGAAGCGGATCTCGACAATTGTGCCGTGATCCGCCCAGCTGCGTGACTGACAGCTGGCTCTGGCTATCTAGAGGCAGAGCCAGCTGTACCCGCCCCCTCCCCCGTCCGTTCCGCCAGTCAGCGCTGGAGGATTGAAGCGGGGAGGGGGGAAAACAGCCCCTCCCCTGTCACGGCAGAGAGCCTTGACAGGATCGAGAGGTGAGCGAACGCCGGTATGTGTTCGCTCACCTCCCGATCTACTGAGCCAACCTGTGACAGTCTCATTGTCACAGGTCGGCTAGAACTATGAGGTGAGTGAAAAGCACTCACCTCATAGTTCTCCTTTAGCAAGACACAAAGTACTATGTTGATGCAATGTAACCAATATACTCTTTGGACTGAAGCTGAATTTTGCAGGAAAATCAAGTTTTGTTACTTTATCTTTTAATCAGGTATTATTTTTTAGCTTGATATTTTTGCCTGGAATTATGCTTTAAACTGTAATGTAATGGGTGTATATCATATTACAAGTAATAGTGCATATTACTTGTAAATTATTAGTCAAATACACACTTTGTCACCAGTTATATTGTCATTCACATTTATTCTTCAAAAGGTTCCAGTTTCACCATCAATACAAAGTTTAGGTTTCATGTGCATTTTCTAAATCCAAAACCTGATTAGTCGCCAAGGGAAAAAGATATTGACTGATTTGGAAATGACATACAGTTACCAAAAGTCAATGAAAGGACTAGCTAGCTTGGCGTCATTTAAATCTAATGTGCAGAATGATGAACTTGCCAAAAAAGTAACTAAGATGCCATTGCCCATCTAAACCTTTCGTCCGGCGCTTACCAAATGCTAGTGTTCTCTATTAAAACGTTACATGAAAATGGAGATTCTGGGTTTTACATGTCAAAGAAAATGAACATACATTTCCCTGCCAGAATCCAGCCTTGTACAGCCAGATGAGTAGCAGAGAGACTCGCTGCAATTTACTACACACTCACTTGGCAGAAACTGGAGAGGATCGGGAAATCAGAAATTATATTGTAAACATTATCACAGCTAATCAATGTGTAGTTTGGGAGTGTTGATTACCGACATCCAACATTTCCAAGAATGTTCCAAAATTTCCAGAAAACATCTTTGGTACACCATCACACATAACCATGTCAGACCATCATGGGTTTGTTTACTAATGCTTTAAGGACACCACAATTGTTTCCAAAGCACATGTACTCAAAGAGAAACAAATTTGGCTTATGTAGGAATCTGGGGAAAAAAAAGGAGGTTTTGTTTTATGATTGTTCAGTTACTTATGATTTTTTTTGTCTATATACTACTCCAACATGAAACCAGACTGTCAAAGGGTCAGAGTTTAGAGGTCACTTGAGGTCTGCCGGTTTGCACACTTAAAGGATAGATAGACTCATGAATTGACAGTCAGAGACCTGGCAACCTCTAACCCTGTAATTGCTTTCGCAATGACAGCTACCATAGGTCTCTCCAGACAGATAAGAGAGACTAAATGTTACATAAGAGTCAATGTTGGTGTTTTTATGCAACTATTGGACAGAATATGAGCAACTGAAATAAATGGAGAGACCTGTAGTAATAGAAAAGGATGTTTTGAGATTGATCCAAAGTAAAAATGATTTACAATACTTTATAGGTGCCATAAATAACAATTTCATCTCCCCTGTGAACATCCTCAGTCTGAGGGGACTTCTGCCTTAGGAGCACTCACACTCCTCCTTTTCATCCACTTTCCATTTACTTACCTGCACTGTGCACACATCTACTCCCTTCCCTGGTCTCTCGCAACACAACATGTCAGACCCTAATTATTTGTCCGAATAGCCTGCTCCCTTGTCCCCAGCTACCATAACATGTCAGACCTTGATCAGTCTCCTCTCTCCCTCTGGAAGAACGTGGCCTGGAAACCTAGCTGCTACCTGCAAACAAGTTTTATGCCGGCTTGTTAGTACCTGTCATGGCTTCCCTCCCAATTGTACCACCCCTGGTCCCTGCAGGTTAGATTCCTCAGCAACCAACTTGTCTTACCTTTTGATGGTGCTCCCCAGCCAGATTCCTCATCAACCTCTGTGTCTCACCTGCATGCAGCTCACTAAGCCCTGCAAAGACTTCCCTTCCAAGGCAGCAGACCAACTCATGGCACCATGGACCTTCGGTGCAGGCATCCTCATCCAGCCTGCTGACAGCACAGCATGTCCTTATTGTATACCCTCCACATACCACCCACCACACTTCAATCCTGCATATACTGCCTGCTGTCTGGCCCTCTACACTGATCTCCTGCACATCTTACCCACTAAAACAATTGAACATTTTTTGTTTAACCTTTTATTAAACCTTCTCCCGTCTAGAATGGGCACAAATTTGCTAGTGTGTAAATAAATATGGTCAATAAAATGTATACAATGCTACAAAAAGTTCTGTATACATAAATAAATTATCTTCTACAGTACAGCATGATTTTGTACTGTATTATTGCTACCACTATTGAAAAGGACATAACTATTTTCTCAGTTCAATAAAAAAAAAAAAAAATTGAATGAGTGCAAACATTCAAAAAAAAAAACCCAAAAAACCTAAACCTATATACCCCCCCAACCACCAAGCAAAGTATTAAAGGGTTTATGCTTTCCTTTTGTACAACTCGATTCTACGCTCGAGAAGGGTCTGTATTAATTAACATCATGTATCTTTTCTAGAATAGTACAGCATACACCATTGCTGGTGGCCTCTAGACAGAGTGGTATCCAAGAAAGACCTTCTTCTAGGACAGGATTTTCCCCCAAACACGCCCACACACACACACACACACACACACACACACACACACACACACACAAAGAAAAAGAAAAAGAAAAAAAGGACATTTGGTTTATTTACAACACATATGAATGAAGGAACTCAAACTATTCTTTACAAGGTTTCCATTTTGAAAATACCAGAATACTCCATTCCTAATAATAATAATTCCCTGCTCTTCATCAGTACCTCACCTAGGTACCACCTGGGAGCCTTATTGGAGTGCGATCATTGATTTTGAACCCATCAACTAGGCGCATGGTGTTGTGACCAATGACATGAATGATATTAGGCACAGTCGAGTCCAAACAACTGATAAAAAACAGAAAACAAGTGAAGATGGAGCAATATTCAGCACAGCACCCCCTTATCAATAATGGAATCTACACCATTTTATCTGCATGTGTTGGGGAACCGGAGACTGAATAGGAGCACATTACAATAAGAATGGGACAGGCCAAGCCAATAGAAGCATTACCTAAACCAGAACAAGTAAGTAATACAATCTAGTTGTGTTTAAGTCTCAGAACACGAAGTACATCTCTTAACAGGTCATTAAATACAATCACATGGACATTTAATGGTTGCATTGGTAGTACAAATTAATGACCCACAACCAGTCTAGTAGAGGCCTCATGAACCATTAATAGCATTCTGTTTTGATATACATCTAGAAACAAGTGGATGAACAGCAAGTGCCTTGGCTCCTCGGCAGAAATTAATCAAATGTTAAACCATATAAACTATTACACACACATTATATATATATATATATATATATATACACACATACATACATCACACACAGAGTGTATAAATTTATACACTCTGTGTGTGTGTGTGTATGTGTGTATATGTATATATATATTTAATAGGGATGCACCGATACAAGCGAGTATTTGCATGAGTACTCGTGCAAATATTCCGATACAAAAAACAAGTACCTGTGCCATAGCGATCACTGGTAGATCGCCATGTCCTCTCCTCCCGCCGCTTCTCTGGATCACCGCTGCTCTCCCCAACGGGGAGCCGAGAAGAATTGAAGGAACCGGCGGCGGTTTTGCCAGTTTTTTTTTAATAACATTTGGGGGCCCTTGGTATTCTGGACATTTCAAATAAGAGGTTACTTGACTATCAAGTTAACCACAAGTCATTTTTAAGTGGTTAATCTGTAATTCTACTGAGCCGACCTGTGACAGTCTCATTGTCATAGGTCGGCTAGAACTATGAGGTGAGTGAAAAGCACTCACCACATAGTTCTCCTTTAATTAGGACTCCAAGCAAACAACTAAATACATATATGTTTACTTGCCCGCCTCCCACCTACCCTGGACAATGAATCATCACCTCTGTC